GAAAAATCTTCCTTCACTAAGAATTTATTTTGGTGCTTCATTCAAAATGTTTTGTAATTTGAACTATTAAATAAAATTTTCATTTTTACCATAAGCAGAAGAAGACTGGTGGATATTATGAATAATTAAACTATATAATATATAATCTCCAGGTTTCCTAGTTCTTTGCTAATATGATGAAGACTGAGGATTCAGGGGTGTTTGCAGGATGTTTCAAATGTGGTAGCACAGCTGGGACAATAACATGACAGGTCATCATAATATTTCATCATAAATACATAGAGAGATGCAGGTTTTGTATTATGCACATATTTCAATCTGATTTTTAAAAATATATAAATAAAATATCTTGTCATCCTGCTGGAACCATCAGAAGATGGGTCCACTGTGGTCTTCCTTTTGCATTGTTAGTAAGCTACAGATGAACATGTTAAAATGCTTTCAATAGTTCCAGGTGAGCAGAAGCAGCAACTGGTTATGTTGGTTGAAGAAGATGTTATCAGGAACAGTGGCTTGAAGTTTTTGTCACTTGCTTCATGCCTGAAGTCAAAATGGGAGGTGCCAGCTGTTTAATCATGTCTGCCCTGTTAGAGCAGCACACCGAGAGTCAGAGAGCAGAAACAGGTTCCTCTCCGGCACCTCCACTGCTCCCCTCGGCCCCAGGAGTTACTCTGTACCAAATGGTGGAAGGCAGCGACTCCCAGGATTCCCTAGAGGTCTCCAAGGCACGGAGGAGTGCTCATGGCTCTCAGCCTCCCCACAATGGCAAGGACTTCGTTTGAAGTCACTACAATAAAAACTAGAGGTGTGCAGATCGATCTAAATAGCGATAGTATCAATACCAACACTAGTATTGGTATCGGATCGATACTAACACCACTGGATTGATACTTTGCTTTTATCCTTCATGTTCAGTATGCAGCCCGCTGAACTGTGTTAATTATTTCTTTCTAAAAAAGTAAACCTCAAACATAAACTATGAAAAATGTCCAAACCTTTTTGTGCCTCAGAGACAGAATAAATTACATTCCAGGTCTCCAAAAACCCAGTTTCAAAACACAGGAAAAGCTGGAAGGTGTGTTTACTTATGATAACTAACTACTGTAGAAAGTAATAATCACTGTGATAAAGTGGTGATTAAAATGTGTTCAGAATTCAACATTTTAAAACAATTGAGAATTCATCTCATAAGTTATTGCACACTACTCTCCCCCAATTAGCTGCCTGAATAACTTCAAATTATTGGCACTGATACGGGCAATACTGGCCCTGTGTTTACTTGGTATTGGACTGATACCAAACTCTGTAGCACAGCACTTCTGTGAATGAGGGAAAGTGTGAATGTTGAATGTTTTTCTTGAAAAGTAGGCAAGTATATACATACATACAATGGAGCCTGATCTTTCCTCAGTACTCAGCCTTAACACCAGCTCTCCACAAGGCTGTGTACTGAGTCCCTTACTGTACACACATGACTGTATCAGTACCCACCCAGACAACACAGTCACTAAGTTTGCAGATGATACCACCGTGGTGGGGAGACGAGACGGCATACAGAGCTGCGTTTCAGAGGCTGCCGGATTGATTGGTGTGCAGACAACAACCTGGACCTCAATACCACCAAGACAAAAGAGCAGGTAGTCGACTTTAGAAGGAGGAAGTCAGAGCTGCAGACTGTCAGCATCAACAGGGAGGGCCTGGAAAAGGTGCCCAGCTTCAAGTTCCTGGGTGTGCACATAGACACAGACCTCCAATGGAGCTCAAACACCTCAGCGGTTTTAAAGAAGGCCCAACAGCATCTCCATTTTCTGAGAATTCTCCAAAAAATGGACCTGAAGAAGGAGCCGCTGATCATTTCTACCGCTGCTCCATTGAGAGCGTGCTAACATACTGCATCTGTGTATGGTACTCCAGCTGCACCATGGCACACAAAAAGGCACATCCTCCTCCCTCCCTGATGGACCTGTACAGCACTCACTGTCTCCAGAGGGCACGCAGCATCCTACAGGACGGTACACACCCAGGACACCAGGTGTTTAAGCTGCTGCTGTCTGGAAAGAGGTTCAGACCACAGCAGCCTGAAACAGACTTAAGGAGTGCCTTACGAGTAAAGTAAGGGATTACTATTGCAAAAACGGTAATTAGATTACCGTTACTTTCCCGTAGGAACGCTGCGTTACTGCGTTACTAAAACCGTGATTCTTTTGCGAGAATGTCTCATGACAGTGACGTAAGCAAGTGCGACGTTCGTGACAACAGCTGTGTGCAGATCAACAATGGATCATATATCGAGTGCGGGAGAGAGTATGAGCGTGCAGCGTTTAAAGCGTGGAAGTACTGACCTTACTTTGAGTTTGATTCCATAAAAAGTGACAAAAACATTAGTGTCCGTGTGCGTGGGAAGAAAACTTCTTTTTACAGCGAAAAAAACCCCTAAACTATGATGGCCAAATGAAGCTTTCTGAAGCTTGTATTGAAAAACGGTTCATTACTCGAAGCTTTTCAACACAGTCCTCTCTGGTGACATCTGGTGGCCAAAAATATGAAGAGCAGCTTGAATCCACAAAATAAAACCAACTGCTTCATTATGATTGCCCACTCTACAGAGTGGAATTCTGTCTGATATTGGGCCGCTGTTGTGTTGCTTTGAACGTGTATTTTTTGGTGGTTAAAAAATGTGTTTTATTTGTTTAATAAATAGTTTTGACCAGTAAACTCTCCTTGTTTAAATATGCACCATGGTGTGGTCTTTCTTTGCTTGTGACTTCTTGATGTTGGTAAATACAATAATTGAAAAATACCACGTTACATATAATATATACATATAATAATGTACAACACATTATGGAGTATGCTTCTGCTCTGAGGTCTTGCCTCCATGCACTTATGCAATTAATCGCTAGACGGGTGTATTTATAAATAATATTATATTAGGGAAATTTTCCCAGACATATTTTTGACCTGGGGGTAGAATTGATTGTGAAATGGAAAGGAAAATGCTTATGAACTTGCAAATTAAAAACATGATGCATTTAAGGTAACCCTTTTTCATTTTTATTTAAGAAGAGAATTTGTTCTAGTGTGCGATGGCCGAACCTGTTCCTTTTCGTGGAGATAATTTCTCCTGCCTTAAGGAAAATCCCTTCACATGGAACAGAGGAGGCTGGAGTGCAGAGAAACTGGTAGAGATGCAGTTATACAGTCTACCTGGGCCCCACAAACTATCAGCTAAAGAGAATAAATAAATTCAATTGCTGCACATTTGGCAGACTAACATTTTCAGATTAATTAAACAATAAAATATATATTTTTACAACATTACATGTAAAGAGTCAAGTGGAAGTTTTTCTAAAGTTATTTAATGATATTTATATTATGGAAGCAGATTTTTGACATTTTACCTTTTTCCCGTTTTCAGATAAAATAAACACGCACAAAACAAAAGCAAACAGCCAGAACACAAAGCTGGAAAACCCACCCGATTGACAAAAATCAACTCAAAATTCTCCCACACAACAGAACCTCCTCTATTCCTCGCTGGCTCCAAATCTCTCAGTAGAATGATCAGTGGTTCGCTGTCACCATCAAAACACTCCACAAATCCCGCGAATGATTCGCTTCCTTATAAACCATTGAATCAGATACCGAAGCAGTTAGGCTCTAAATGAAGCTTCGGACGTCACTGATCACGTGACTCTGGCCAAACGAATCAAGCTTCGACACAGTGCTTCTGAAGCAGTGTGTTGATTTTTTTGACACACGCACCGGAGCGTCAGCTTCAAGCGGGCCATCACTACCCCTAAACTTCCGAGCAAGCACCGAGTGCTTGGGAAACTCACAGATCGCTGAGGCACACCTGCACCAGAGCAAACCTCCGCCTGCTTTACAGGTGAAAATAGAGACGCTGAGCTTTACTTTATTTATTTTCTGCTGTGTTTTACTTGCATCTATTTGAAAGACTGAGTGTAAACACAAAAAATATTTTATTTTATGTGCTGGAATGTGCAGAAAATAGGTTTAAATGTTAAACTAATTTCTTCCAGTCAGAGAATGTTGCATATAATTAAATTTTTGCTTGATGCATAAAGTTAAAAGATTAAAACTAATAAAACAAGTTTTAAAAAGAGACTTTTCCATTTGATTACATTTTGTATGATGGATTATGTCAGAAAAAGTAGAATTGGGCTGAAAGATCTATCGCTTTATCACCTCTTCAGGTTGTAAATCGTGTTTTTAAAAAGTAACTAAGTAATTAATTACTTTTGAAAATAAGTAATCAGTAAAGTAACGGGATTACTTTTTTCAAGTAACTTGACCAACACTGGTAATGAGGAATGAGATATAATAATAAGTTATATTAGATCATGTAACTGTTGCTGGTTTGAAGCAGAGGTGCAGAGCTCTGTGGGAAAGAACCGGAGGTCACGGTCACGGTAGAGTTCTGGGTTGTAGCGGTTTTACCAGTTGAACCAGTTTCTCCCATAGTCACGTGATCTCAAAGCTATTTGACCACAGCTTCTTCATCTTCATCAGACACTAGATCTTCCTTACACAGCTCTGGATGGTTCCTCTCTCTCTGTCTCTCACTTGTTTTCTAGTAGAATACAAATTTGTAACCTGCTGTCAGAGTCACAGATATTATGACAAAAATATTTGTCTTGAATCATGCTCCATCGTTCAGGTTAGGAAATCCAAACAAGTTTCTTCTGCTCATCTAGATGTAACGTTTCCAGGGCAAATACTTTTTGACATGTAAAATAAAGATAGCACTGTATATATGTATGTAAGTATATATGTATGTATAGGTATATATATAAACATATAGATCAGTGAGAATCTACAGGGCTTTTCAATTTAAAAAGTTTGCATCAACCAGGAGTGCATAATGAATTGTCTCAAGGAGCCACATGAGAAAAAGAGACTGTTGTGGAGGGCCTCACCAACAAGCCGAACTCTAGCACACACACTCACACACTGCTGTGGGTTTTTTTTTTTATCACACAAATTTTAGATGAGGTTCAAGCTGATGTTTGACGTTCACGTCCAATCACAGTTTTCATTTGGGTGATAGAAAAGTAACAAACGTCCATGTCAGTAATGTTGTCATTAGTGAAATACAAAGCAGTCAGTTTCCATCCATCAAATGAACAAACAGCAGACATGCTGTCCTTCATGTATAATATGATTCCTTCATTTTCCAGGTGGTAACTATGACGACTAAGAAGCTGCTCATTGAAACACTGAACCAGTTGAGTCCAGAGGACTTTGCTGAGTTTAATTCACTCATTGAACTGGAGAAAGATCTATCATCCAAGCCAAGGGGCCGACTGAAAACATCAAACACACAGGATGTAGTGAAGCTGATGGTGGAGACGTACAGAGGAGAGAGTGTGGAGGAGACCAGAAAGGCTTTAATGAAGATGAACAGGACTGATCTGGTGCAGAGATTATCAGGTATCACCTCAGGAACCACAAATAAGAGAACAAAGACTTAAATATGTGAGAATACTGCATAAAGTTTATCACATTCATATGAAACCAGGTGCTGACTGATAGAAAAATCTCTTGACTCTGTTGTGTAGTGAATGATGAACAAAGACGTTTATATTTTCGTGCTGCTTTTTATAACGTGGATTAGAGCAGAATATGTGCAGGTCAGGCAGGTTGGCTCATTACAGGAGGCTCAAACACAGCACACTACAAAATAATAGCAGCTTATAGCCGGTGTGCAGTGATATTATGTGACTGTTTCAGGACTTCACAATTACAACAAACCACTGAAACTCTTCTTATTAACAGTTAGACAGTTACAGAGGTCACATGCTCTGTAAAGTCGTAAGCTGGAGAGGAAATGGCGTGTCACAAATTTAGAGGATCATCATTTAGCCTGGAGAAATAGTTTGCTGCTTTATAAGAAAGCCCTCCGCAAAGCCAGAACATCTTACTATTCATCACTGATTGAAGAAAATAAGAACAACCCCAGGTTTCTCTTCAGCTCTGTAGCCAGGCTGACAAACAGTCAGAGCTCTGTTGAGCCAACCATCCCTTTAACGTTAACTAGTAATGACTTCATGAACTTCTTCACAAATAAAATTTTATCATTAGAGAAAAAATTACCATAATCATCCCACAGATGTAATATTATCTACAGCTACTCTTAGTACCATTGATGTTAAGTTAGACTCTTTTTCTCCAATTGATCTTTCTGAGTTAACTTCAATAATTACTTCCTCCAAACCATCAACGTGTCTTTTAGACCCCATTCCTACAAAACTGCTCAAAGAAGTCCTGCCATTAATTAATTCGATCTTAAATATGATCACACAATAATTTGTGTGGCATCAATTTGATGCAGAACAGCTGATTGTTCTGTAAATAGTTTGAAATGTTTATTTAAAAAACCTTGGCTGCATTTTTAGGTAAACAGCTGCAAAAAACTTTGTTGTTTGCAAAACTCAGTAACTTTTTTGAAGAAGTAACTATATAATTAATTGCCCAACATTGGTCATTATATACTGTATTTTGCAGACAGAGTTACAGGACTCTCTCCCAGACCACAGACTCATAATACAAGTCAGAGCTTTATAAAAAAAAAAAAAAAGAAAGTTGTGTTTTCAAAATTGGAGTTCAAGTTATTTTTACTTCCAATAGTGTTAACATGCTACACAGGTCATGAACAAGATTTTTTTAATTTTCATTGTAAGTGGGCTAAAGCAGTTAATTAAAAGTAGTCTAACATAAATGTAAATGCTGTAATTTGATTATTTTAATAAACATGTAACTTGGATGGATTCGATGCTGGCGTGACCACAGTGCACACGTCTGCTGTTGCTCACAGTGGTCCAAGGGACGCTCAGGGAGTTTGTGTGTTCGCTCAGACACAATGAAAAATTAGAGGGAACATGATGGTTTGGAGGAAGTAATTATTGAAGTTAACTCAGAAAGATCAATTGGAGAAAAAGAGTCTAACTTAACATCAATGGTACTAAGAGTAGCTGTAGATAATATTACATCTGTGGGATGATTACTGGTAATTTTTTCTCTAATGATAAAAATTTTATTTGTGAAGAAGTTCATGAAGTCATTACTAGTTAACGTTAAAGGGATGGTTGGCTCAACAAGAGCTCTGACTTTTTGTCAGCCTGGCTACAGAGCTGAAGAGAAACCTGGGGTTGTTCTTATTTTCTTCAATCAGTGATGAATAGTAAGATGTTCTGGCTTTGCGGAGGGCTTTCTTATAAAGCAGCAAACTATTTCTCCAGGCTAAATGATGATCCTCTAAATTTGTGACACGCCATTTCCTCTCCAGATTACGAGTCATCTGCTTTAGGGTACGTGTTTGAGAATTATACCACGGAGTCAGGTACTTCTGATTAGAGACCTTAGTTTTCACAGGAGCTACAGTATCCAGAGTCGTACGTAGTGAGGAGGTGAAATTATTAACAAGATAATCGACCTCTGTTGGAGCAGCGTTCAGATAGCTGCTCTGCTCTGTGTTGGTACAGGGCATTGGAGATGATAACAGTGGGTGGATTATATTCTTAAACTTAGTTACAGCGCTTTCAGAAAGACATCTACTTTGATAAAGTCTACTCTCCACTGCTGTGTAATCAATTATTGTAAATGTAAATGTTATCAGGAAATGATCAGACAGGAGAGGGTTTTCAGGAAACACTGTTAAATGTTCAGTTTCTATGCCATATGTTAAAACAAGATCTAGAGTGTGATTAAAGTGGTGGGTGGGTTCTTTTACATTTTGAGAGAAGCTAACTGGCTCCTTGTGATGTGAAGGAGCAGCGGCTCTACTCTGACCCCCTCCCGGATGGCCCAACTTAATATATATCTCCTCACCCTATCTCCCTTAGAGATAGAGTGAGGAGATAGGTGCAGGCTGTATAAAGATGCCCCTGAGACAGTCCTGGACATAACAGCAGGGGACAAGATGCTAGCAGGCAGGGCATACATGGAACTCCATAAACATGTGGCCGGCATAGTGTACAGAAACATCTGTGCCAAGTGTAACCTGGAAGCCCCAAAGTCAAAATGGGAGATGCCCCCAAGGGTGTTGGCGAATGACTGAGCTAAGATCCTGTTGGACTTCCAGATACAGACAGACAAAACAGCGATGGCTAACCAACCGGACATAGTGGTGGTAGACAAACAGAAGAAGACGGCTATAGTGATAGATGCAGCGATACCAAATGACAGCAACATCAGGAAGATGGAACACGAGAATCCCCATCTTAAGACTCTTTAATTAGACTAGCTTTTAACTAGATTTGTGTTTGTGCTATTTTATGTTCATCTGTTTTAAATTATTATGAAGCACTTCATGGTTTTTATCCCGTGAGAAGTGCTACATAAATCAATAAAGTACAGTAAAGTAAACTGTCGAAGTACCGAGAGCTCAGAGAAGAGCTCGAGAAGATGTGGAGGGTGAAGGTAACAGTGTTTCCAGTGGTAATCGGAGTACTATGCGGTGACTTCTAAACCAGGAGAGTGGCTCCAGCAGATCCCGGGAGCAACATCGGAGATCTCTGTCCAGAAGAGCGCAGTCCTAGGAACAGCTGAGATACTGCGCAGGACTTTCTAGTTCCCAGGCCTCTGGTAGAGGACCCGAGCTTGAAGGATATCTTTTGTGTTCTAAATCCTCATAAAGCCTGATGATAAAACAGTTTCTAATCTGACTTTTTCTCTTTCTTTTCTCCTCAGACAAACAGTTTCCTCCACTGAGCCAGAGAGTGAGTAACGTCACATCAGTCGACTTCACACAGTTCAGCTTTGATTCAGTAGATGAAGACTGAAAATGATCTTCATCTTAAACACAAATCATACACATGAAATTCAAGCTGCAGCTTTGTCATGTACACATGAGTTTTATACATGATTGGTACAGAAATATTAAACCTTATTTACATTTTAAAAGCAGATTAAATTCAAGTCTTTCTGTTTATCAGTAAAGATGTGAGCAGTTAAAGCTCCCCTCTGTTTGTAAAATCAGGAGACTCACTGCAGTTTTTGTAGCTCAGTCTTTGACAGAGTTACAGTCAGGCAGTAAAACAGAGTCACAAACCTGTTCATGAAAATTAAATCCTTCAAAAAGAGGAAAAAATGAGCCAAGAAATAAAAAACCAATCCAAGCAGGTACCCACCGAGCACCAGATGTTCATGGAGGTTATTTTCTGCTCTACATCTGGTCGACCGGTCATGACCTTAAAAAGATGCAGCTTTATGTCTGAAGGTCAAAGGTCATCTTTTCAGGTTTTTAGAAAGAATTGGATTCAAACATGAATTTATTTTTAGCACACTAAAATGTTTCTGTTGATTAAAAATCAAACAGACATTTGAATGGTGCATCGCTGTCATGTGACCTCTGTTTTCACCAGGTGGAAACGATGGAGTCTCTTATTGAGCTGCTTTTGGAGACACTGGCTGATCTGAGAGGCAGCGAGGTCAGAGACTTCATCGAGATCCTGAGAAGAAAACTTGGCTCAATGAGCCCCATGAGTCTGTCTGCGATGTCAGACCTGCCGGACGTGCAGGACGTGGTGTTGTTGATGGTGAGGACTTTTGGCCAACAGTCAGTGAAGGAGATCGTGGAGGTTTTAAAGGAGATGGAGAGGACTGATCTGGCTCAGAGGCTGAGAGACAGCAGCTCAGAAGCTCAAAGTAAGATAAAGACAAAACATGTTAAAATGATAAAAGTGTTTCTGCTTCAGTTCATATTAGAAACAGTCAGATTTACAGAGCAAAGAGAGCATTGTTGACGAGCAGAAAATGATGTTCAGCAGGTTTAAATGTAACTTTTTTTGTTGATCTCTGTGTATTTTTTTAAAGCTCGATTAGCTTTTATTAAACACTTATTTCCATTTCTGTTAATTTCTCTTATTTTCCAGACAAACATCTGGATGAACATCTGTCTGCACTGATCCATAAAGTGAGTAACGTCTCATCTGTCTGACTCTGCAGAGTTCAGCTTTGATTCAATAAGATGCAGTTTGAAAATCATAATTTCATCATTTAGATTAAACAGTTGTCACAGAAATGTTTTTAGATTTAAAATCAAACATTATTAAAAAGTGTGTTTACATAAATACATCTTAATAAATAAGATAATAAAAGAAAACAAAGTGTTTCAGAGAAAACATTGAAAACATTCAAAGTTTAAAACAGCTACAAAAACATAAATCTGTAATTTTCTCAGTGAGGAAACATTTTTTCTTTATGAATGTTTGCTTTGAATGTTCCAGGTTGCAACAATGGCAGCTGTTACAGATGTGCTTCTAGAAACACTGAAGGATTTGAGTTATCAGGATCTCAACAAATTCAAGTTGTTCCTGCAGTTCACTTGTTTTCAGAAGAGTCTTCCACAAATCGAACTGAGAACTGACAGAAGAGGAATAGTGAATGATATGATTGATAAACTTGGTCATCAGTCTGTGGAGGTGATCAGGGAGGTTTTAACAGACATGCAGAGAACTGATCTGGTGCAGAGGCTGTCAGAGAGCAGCTCAGGACTCAAAGGTAAGAGGAAATAATCTGTCAGAGTGTCTGTAATAACTTTAATACATTTTATTTATTCATTAAAGTTTATTTAACCAGGAAAAAATAAACTTGTGACATTAAAAATCTGTTTTACAAGAGTGTCCTGGCCAAGAAGGACAGCTGTACAATAATCATAAGCTGCATAAATTAATACATCAGATATGTTGGGATTATTCTTAACTGTGTGTGGAAGGATTTTAAATATAATATTACACCTTACAGTAAAAATTACTTTAAAGAATTAAATCAGAGAAACTCACAACAAGAACTGCATAATATAAACTTTATTATCATTTATAAATGAAAGAATTTGTTTCCTCTGATTTATTTTGGACAGACGTTGATAAATGAACACATTCAGGTTGTACAAACACAGTAAAATTAAACAGATTTGTTTTCATATTTCAATGTTTAAAGTAAAAATATTCAGCTTATTGAATCAGTGACTTTCTTTAGTAAATGTTGTTTTAAAGCTCTTTGAACTTCTTTCCTTTGAAAATATTTTTCTTTGTTTTTTGCATTTTGAGCTCATTAATATCAGTCTTGTGTTGTAAATGGATCTTTATGTTAGCTTTGATTGAAACTCCACTATGGAGACAGACGACCTGTATGAGGTAAATGATTCAAAGTCTTTTCAGTGATTTCTCTGTGATTGTGTAACTATGGCCTCCTCCTGCCTTCAGTCAGCACAGCTGAAAGTGAAATATTAAAGCTTTTTATTGTCAGGACTCAGTGTTATACTCAGGATGAGCACACATAAAGGACACACACAGTGTCTGTGTCATGTAGTTACAGTTTGTATTCAATGTGTTGCAGCTGCAGGATCATCAGCTGAAGGATTTGATGTGGAGGAAACAGAGAAAGGTCAGTGTCCAGAAAACACATGAATCAATAAATACACTCATTGATATGAAGATGAAGAAGATGAAGAAGAAGAATTACTGAATGAAACAGAACTGGATCATTTCCTCACACGTTGATAGTTTCCCATCAAATATGACTTCATGTTAACAAGTTTAATGTTGTTATTAATCCAACTTACAAGGATCATCAGAATGAAATCAAAGCATCAGTTATTTCAAAGTGTCTGATTATTAACACTGATGTTAAATCAGTCATGAATGAAGCTTTTAATCTTTCTTTTCTGTCAGAGAAACACTCTGAGGATGAACGTTGGCCTGCACTGATCCACAAAGTGAGTCATGTCACATCTGTCTGACTTCAGATCATCCAGCTTTCATTTCATAAACACAGGATAGAAATCTTCAATAGAAACAAATGATTTGATTTTGATTGGAAAAGTCAAAGTTTGATAAGTTGAGCGTGTGCAGTGAGGGAGGTCTGCAGCAGGTCAGAAAAGTCCTGAACTTGTTAACAGAAGCAGAATAATTGTTAATCAGCTGTTTGTGATCATTGTGACAAAGATGACCAATGACATCATCACCTTATGTGATGGATGATGTCATCTAAACACATCTACATTTGTAAAGTGTTGATGAGAAAACAAACAAACCTGAAAGTGAGAAATGTCACATTTATCTCATGAACATTTTCTTTGAATTTTCCAGGTAGAAACGATGGAGTCTGTTATTGAGCTGCTGCTGGAAACTCTGGATGGTCTCAATGATCGAGAGCTCAGTGAGTTCAATAACAACCTGCTACAAATTCATCATGACAAATATTACTCAGACTTCTCATGGATGCCGTACAAGTGGACAGACCTGCAGGACACAGTGTTTCTGATGGTGCAGACTTACGGCCAACAGTCAGTGGAGAAGACCATGGAGGTCTTAAAGGAGATGAAGAGGACTGATCTGGCTCAGAGGCTGTCAGACTGCAGCTCACTGCCTCGAAGTAAGACAACAAAATCAAAACTCATTAAAGTCATAAAACTGTTTTCATGTCTCATAAACGTCTGACTAAAGTCTTCTTTGACTTTATAAATAATATTTGTAATAAAGACAAAAAACTACCAGACTCATCACAACACGATCTCTCT